CCATATCGACCTGTAGCTGCACCCTGCGCTCGATGGCATAGCTGCTCCTGCATTTCTCCATGCCCGTTCTCATTCTCCCTACTCAAAACTGCAGGTGTCATCAAAGACCCCACAGCTACTCGCATAACGGTATTTACTAGACCCCGACTATGGAGGGGGGGAGACACAGCCAGCCATTCATAGCCGCTCTCTGTAAAACCAGCCACGTCAGTCGCTGCATCGACCGCCTGAGGATCCCCTCTGAGCTGCCCGTCGAGAAAATAAGGGCCAGCACTATAAAAATATGGTGCAGCAGCAAAGGATGGTGGGTAACAAAGAGCTGAGCCTGACGATGGAAAAGACAATTTATCATAACCAAGATCATCATTCGATCCCCTCTTCCCTGGCTCCATATTATTTTAATTTTATTTGATGTTAATACTTTAATCCCACGAATCCTTCCGTTTATCGTTCACTATCACCACCGGCTTATCGTCCGTAATCTGCCCCCTGGTTCCGGCCTGAGAGACCCTGCAGTATGTACACCCCTGGCCGCCGCTGCGTTCTCGCTCGATGTTGCCGCCGCGGTTTCATTCAGATGTGCCAGAAAGTGTGTCAGCGGGGGGAGGGGGGCTGGGTGTGCAGTGGCGGGGAACCCGCCACCGGGAGTCTGTCCGCCTGCCCGCTTTCATCTCTGACCACGTGACGTGCGGCAAATTATATTTCCTTCTTGCATTCCCAGCGAACTCTTTAGCCTAATCGCTGGTAACTTTGTGATGCACGTTATTTATGTGTCGGCCTACTTCTGTGAAGGGGGGGGGGGGGATTTGGTTCACGTGCCGGTGTACACGCCCCAAATCGGATTGCACGTGATCACAAAGATGCTGTCAAGCTTTGCACTGTGATGATTTATCAAGTCACATGTTTGGGGGGAAGGTGTCCAGGGGCGATGCCCTCATGATGGTCTCCTCCATGCTGACAAAAAAATAAATAAATGAATTAAAAAAAATGAGCCGCAAGGAACAGATGCACGGTGGCAGCCGCTTCCCGCCAAAATGAAGCCGGAATGAAAGAGAATACAGGAGGCTTTCAAAGGCGCGCTGATCAAACCGAATCCGTTAAAAGTCATTAAAAAAAGCGGGAACATCAATAAAACAAACAGAGAGTCCCAGCAGTCATGCAGTACGATGCCCCCGACGATGTAGTGGCACTCAGGGACAAAGATGCTGCCTTCCATACAATGTTTGTGTGCTGGGGGTTTTTGTTTTTTTTTTAAATGAAGCGTTATAAATAACTTGGCAGCTTTCCCTTTCAGTTGCATGCAGATGACATTTCCGGTACCACGGGAGGAACCAAAAAACGGAACCCGAATCCCATTCTTTCACTCGTGACATCAAATGAAAATTTAACACTGAGTCAGTGTTGTTCTACGCTGCGACGTGCAGGCGGGAAGGGACGGGGAATAGGGGCCGATCGAGGTCGGCGTAATGATCAAAAGTGAACACCGAGGTCGTGCATGCCGAGCTTTCACGGCAAGGCCGGCCACGCCCGTGTTTACGGCGGCCTTTGCGAGGGGTCGCCAGGGCCTCCGCTCACCTCCCTAATTACCCGGCTATCATCTTCAGAGTGCCGTCGAACGGCGGCGAGGCGGGCTGAGAAGCGCTGACGACGGCGTCCCCGGCAAGACGCCGCCGTACAGCGGCAGCCGCCGCGTCCCGACACTCAGCTGTTGACTGCTGACGGATGAGTAATTACACTCCGCTAATTACATTTCAATATCCGCCTTTGAAGTCGGCTGTTTTGTGCAAGAACTCTATTCTTATCTTCTATCGCTGAAAAAAAACCTATTGCCCTACTTTTCTCCACCCTCTTTTCCCTCCTGTGCCCCCTCCCCCTGCTCCCACAATTCCCTGTCTGGAGTCTTTAGAAGTTCTCGCCCTCTCGGAAGATCAAAGCGCAGAGAAATTAAATTCCTTCCCCAAACGCATGAGAGCGGTACATCCCCGGACAGAATGAGCCTTATCGGGGCACAAACATTTTTTCTTAGATTTGTCTCACCAGAACCTGCAGGACCCGACCCTCCCCTCCCTATATATTGTGAGGCACACCCTGTACCTCCCCCCTTATCCTCCGCTGGGTTATTTATGTCACCATGGACTCAAACACCTCACTCTCTCCCTCTTCAGCAAGCTTTTACCTGCATCACTAGGCAAATAGAAGCAAAAGCATAAATGTGTCTGTTGGGTGGAGGGGGGGGAGCCAATCCCCCCCCCCCCAGCCCACCAAGTATTAAATTGCACACAAAAGGCTGGTGGTGGCAGGGGAGTGAAGGCAAGCTCTCCATCTGACGTGCACGGTTAAGAACAACAATGTGAATGGTCAGTGAGGTGGGGTGGAATCTGCTGCACCCCTCTGAGGGGGCTGTAGTTTGGGCGGAGACACCCCACAGCGCTAAGGGGCTTGGAAGCAGACCTCACCACTGATGACTCACCGGCCTCCGAGGACAACCCTCACCGTTACTCATTCGTGTCACCTTCGCCGCTTAATCTAATTATCTGTAAAGTCACAGAATAACCTTTATCTCACTCCTTGCCATGAACCGGGGGGGGCACAGCACCCCCCCCCCCACATACACCCACACACGACAAACTTGCCGGCGAAAGTCAAATCTGGCAGTCGACGTTAAAGAAGCAGCCCGTTGTTAGCCTGTTCCCGGCGTTAAACCTCACACTGGGGGGATGCGGATGCCACTCGTACGGTGACAGGCTGACGGGGCACCTGTGCCACTGCCCGCCAGCCCCACAGACGGCCATCCCGGCTAATTAGGGCCCTCTGATGGGAAGCCGGGGCCCACGGAGCCCCGTGACGAGCGCGGCCCGTGCCGTGTGGTCCATGTGCCCGGGGGGGGTGTGGGGGGGCGAGCTCCACATGGCTAGCAGAACTCAGCTTGGCATCCTGTCACCCCTGTGGGGACTGTGGGCCACGACACCGTCCTGCGCTGCCACGCTCTGGATGCTGAGCGCCTGTGCGTGCGAGGTTCACACACACAGACACACATACACACACATCTGCACACACACAGGTATACCTAAATAAACATAGTCTGCTTTCACCGTCTTTTAAAATATTAAAAATAGCAGTAAACATTTAGAAAAGTTTAACAAAAGTAAAGAACAACGGATACTCATAGAAAGTGAAAATCATTATCTACAGAAAGATCTTAAATGGAAGAAATGTAATTAAAGCTACTGTCCCTCTCTGTCTTGTTGTCCTTGCACTGTCTCTCCTGCTCAGTCTCAAAGAAAAAAAAACTCAGAATTTCTCTTGGCTGGATTGAAATCGTTAGATATTTGAGCCGAGCCTGAGTGGAGGTGTGCAGGTTATTTGAGCGGAGGTGTGCGGGTTATTTGAGTGAAGGTGTGCGGGTCATTTGAGCTGAGGTGTGCAGGTTATTTCAGCAGATATGCGGGTTATTAGAGTGGAGGTTTGCTGGTTATTTGAGTGGAGGTGTGTGGGTTATTTGAGTAAAGGTGTGCGGGTAATATGAACCAAGGTGTGCGGGTTATTTGAGTGGAGGTGTGCAGGTAATTTGAGTAAAGGTGTGCGGGTAATATGAACCAGGGTGTGCGGGTTATTGATGTGATATTTGATGTGGAGGCGTGCGGGTAATTTGAGCCGAGGTGTGCGGGTTATTTGAGCCGAGGTGTGCGGGTTATTTGAGCAGAGGTGTGCGNGAGGTGTGCGGGTTATTTGAGCCGAGGTGTGCGGGTTATTTGAGCAGAGGTGTGCGGGTTATTTGAGTGGAGGTGTGTGGGTAAATTGAGCCAAGGTGTGCAGGTTACGTAAAGCCGTCAGCTGACTCTGACCTGG